CTCCTAACTCTCTGGACATGTATAGGGGTAGATTTATAAATATAATAGATTTTAATAAGAAAAATTGATCGATTTTGTAACATTGCTTTTGAAATTAAATAAAGGAAAGTAATAAGTATGCCGAAATAAGGAATGGAAAAAATTTACTGTTACTTACTTAACAGTAACTTAATGCTCTAATAATTCTAATATTTTTAAAATGTAATGAAGGTAAAATTTTTGTTTTCGTTATTTTATAATATTTAGCTATTTTTCAAAATTGTTAAAAATAGTTAAAATGGAATCTGCAGCTATTTAGATCGTTATATAAAAATTGAAATATATTGCAATAAATATATAAATTAATATTGCACAAAAAATGAAGACTTTATAGAATGCGTTTCATAATTATATTTATATTCTATAAAATCGCTATTTAGAAAGTTATATTAAAATTGTAATATATTGCAAAATTAAAAAAATGAAGTAATTTTTAGAATGCATATCATAATCATACGTAAATAATTATATTATTATAATATAATGCATAAATAGGAATAGATCAAAAGGTGAAAAAAATACAATATTCGTTATAGCGAATTTTTTTCAATATTTTAAATAATATTAACTGCACGCTTCCTTGATTGCATATTGTTTAGCTGACCGGAGACATGTCAGCTACTTTTTAATATATGGAGATAAATTCCATTGATTGAGAGGAGTCCGTTAATGCTTATCATCATTAAACTGGAAATACGTTTTATCATGAGACTTGCAAACAAATCGTCATAATGCCATTTAGAAAGTTAAATTGTACAAGCAGCACTACAAGGAAATAAACTATCAAATCTAGAGAGCATTTATTACTTTCACTCCCATCGTTCATTGCGAGATCCCTATCGAGCTTTAATTAAACAAATTCGTTTAATTTGCCCTTAGCAAAAGTGATGGCCTGCTAGCCAATTATCTTTTTCTACTATTTCAGATAAGATAGCCAAAACATATTATATCATTAATATCGGAATTAGCATCCATTAATATATTTTGCATATTGTCTGTTAAAAGTAATGAAAAAATTTTTACCAGAATGCCTTATATTTTCCTTTATTGAGATATTTACATAAGTTCTCATTTAGAAAATATCGGCTAATAATTAGATTATTTTATTTCTTTTTTTAATTTTACTGAAATCGATTTTAAAAATTCAGTTACTGTTGTTTTCAATATGATGATTGACCCTTTGGCTAAAATTTAATTTTTTTATAAATGTTGTAAAAAATTGATTTATTTTAAAAAAAATCATCTCTGACAAAAAGCGAATAATGAAAAACATAATTCTAGGCGACGAAATATTAACTAAACTCTTATTTAGAATTAAAAAGAAATTATTAAACTAACCAAAATTATGTTTCAATTTTTATATATAATTAGCTCCAATTAAAAATAATATATTTTGAAATAAAATAATAAAATTATTCTATAGTATCATTATTATAAATAATAATGCATTCTATACATTATAGCCTAAAAAAACTAATGGTCTTGGAAGCCCCTTGCAGTGGGGCTTGTTGGGCAAATTTTTAACTTTTACAAAAAATAAAATTTCATAAATGATTATATTCTTAAAAATATTTTAAAAAATAAAATCGGCTCGACTCGCCCCTGTCATCCCTACTCTTCTAATCTTCAGCAATTGAATGACTAATACAGGCGCTATTTCCAACGCTTTTTAATTTTAGCAAATTGTAATATTATTTACAATTTTTATTAGCATTTCCTTGGCAATAAATTATTAACATGGCAAAATATTTAGAATGCAAAATATGTCTAAATCTAAATCGTTGTGATCTTGTAAATCTATTAAAGATTCAAAGGAGAGACCTGCAGAGGTACCATTTGCACGGCCCGGCCCGGTTTTAAATTTTTTAAGATTTTCCTCTATCATCTTTGGCCATCCAGTTGTAAGGTAACGTGAAACCTTTGATAATACCGGGTTATTTCTTGAATAAATTGTGGAGCATCCGATACTATTAAATTAATATCTAACTCTTCCCAAGCAGATGGTTTGCCGTCAATTGGAAACCGGGAAAGCATATCCGCATTACTATTTTTTTCGTCCCTCAAGTTGCAATTCATAATCATAATTTGCTAGTAGTAATGACCATCTTACTAATCTTGATGACATATCTGTTATTCTTTTATGTGGATTAAGTAACGATATTAGGGGTTTATGGTCAGTAATGATAATGAAATGTCTGCCAATTAAATATTGTTTAAATTTAATTAATCCAAATATAATTGCTAAAGCCTCACGCTCTATCTGACTGTAATTTCGTTCGGCAGCATTTAATGTTCGAGACGCGCATCCAATCGGTTTTTCCTCGTTGTTAATGATATGAGATATAACTGATCCTATTCCATGTTGAGACGCATCAGCAGCTAGAATTATCGGTTTTTCCGGATTATAATGTGTTAAAATTGGTGCTTCTGATATTAATTTTTTAAATTTATTAATCACAATTGTTTCATTATTTGTCCATTTCCATGGCACATCTTTCCTTAAAAGCCTATATAATGGAGCGGCAATAGTCAAAAAATTGTTTAAATTTTTGATAATAATTTATTATACCGATAAAAGCTTGTAATTCTTTGACGTTTTTTGGTAATGGTGCGTCTAAAATTGCATTGACATTCTTATTTGTTGTCGTAATTCCCTCTTCGCTAATGGTATGACCTAAGAATTCAATCTTTTCTTTAAAAAATTCACATTTTTTTAGATTTAATTTCATACCGTTTATTTCTAACCTCTTTAATACATTTATCAAATTTTTCTTATGAATCTCAATTGATTCCCCCGTAATTATTATATCGTCCAAATATACCGCTACTCCAGGTAATCCCTTTAATAATGAATCCATTGCTTGTTGAAAAATCGCTGGCGCTGAGGCTACCCCAAACGGAAGTCGTGTGAAACGATACAATCCACTAGGCGTGTTGATTACTAACAGCTTTTTTGCCTCCTCATCTAGCTCTATTTGAAAATACGCTTCGGATAAATCTAATACTGTATATTTACACCCATTACCTAGTGTGGCTAATAATTCATTAATTCTGGGTAAAGGATATTTATCTATCAAAATATTTGCATTAACCGTTTGTCTGAAATCACCGCAAATTCGTAAAGATCCATCTTTCTTCAATACGGGTACAATCGGAGAAGCGATATTCGAGTATTTTAATCTTTCTAAAACTTCCATGGATTCCAGTCGTTGTAATTCCGTTTCGAGTTTTGCCTTCCACGCAAATGGTATCGGTCTACTTTTCATACATTGAAACTATGGGTTAGATTTTACCGCTAAACTGGCCTTAAAACCTCTTAGTAAACCTAATTTTTTAGTGAATAATAAGGAAAATTTATGTACAATATTATCCTCCCAAACCTCATTAACTATATTACATTGATTTATTTTTATTAATTTTAATTTGTTTATTAGGTTTCTACCTATCAAGTTAATCCCATTGTTTACAATAATAAATTCATGATATATAACTTTATTCATATAATTAACGGGTAATATACACTTACCTTTAATATTGATCATTACATTATTATAAGATTTTAAAATAATATCCGTTTTTGTTACTGGTATTTTTAAACGGTAAACGTCTTCTATATTCAAAATGGAGACTGCCGATCCTGTGTCAATTAAAAATTTAATATAAATTTTATCTATCAATAATTTCACCTCAAATTTTTCTCGAGACTCCTCTGGAAATTCCCAATCCTCAAAACTTTCTCGCTCATTTTCTGGAACATCTATCGTTCGAATATATTCCTTCTTTCCACGATTCCTTCTGCATACTTTTTGTAAATGTCCTTTTATCCCACAATTATGGCAGATGGCATTCAAATTAGGGCACTTAGGTTTTATGTGATCTCCTAATCCGCAACAATAGCAAATAATTTTTGGTACTGATTTGTACTTGTCATACTGCTCCCTTCTTACTGTTTTTGAGATTTTATTTATCTCCTTCCCTGCAGATAATTTTTCATACGACATCATTTCTGTAGTCTCCATTGCGGTCGCGATTTGTATTGCACTTTCCCATGTCAAGTCCTGCGTATTAATTAATTTCATTAATATTTTTCCATTATTAATTCCTGACACTAATTTGTCCCGCAATACTGTTTTATACATATCTTTAAATTCACACGTCTTTGCCTTTATCTTTAATTTATTAATATACTCTACGATGGTTTCATCTTTTTCTTGTTCCATTTTAAAAAAATAATATCTTTCTTATAGGAAGTTTGACTTCTTCATATAATAATTTTTTTAAAGTTTAATTATGTCATCATATGATATTTCCTCTAATGTCTTTGGCAAACACAAATTAAATAATTTAGAATAAACCTCTAATCCAATATTCGCTAATAAAAATGATTTTTTATCTTCTATTTTTGCGATTTTAAATATGAATTCCATTTTTGATAAATAAACTTTGCACTCCTTTATATTATATTTCTCCATTTGAACGACTGCGCCATTGTGATGAAATCAATTTTTATTATAAATTTAACAACTTTTTACCTTTTGTACCGCAGTATATATATATTTTACAAAACAAACAATTAATCGTCGTACACAATTAATAATATATATATTTAAAATTCAACATATATTTAATTGCCTTTGAGGCTAATTGTTTCTATTACATCTTTCCGGTTTCCAATTGACGGTAAACCATCTGCTTGGGAAGAGTTAGATATTAATTTAATAGTATCGGATGCTCCACAATTTATTTCAGCGTTAAATATAAAAGCACACACAAGAAATGACCCGGTATTATCAAAGGTTTCACGTTACCTTACAACTGGATGGCCAAAGATGATAGAGGAAAATCTTAAACCGTTTTTCCAGCGCCGAAATGAACTCACAATGGAGGCAGGGTGTATATTATGGAGCTTAAGAACCATAATTCCAAAAAAATTACAAGTAAATATTTTGTCTTTTTTACATATGGGGCATCAGGGTTATACTAAAACAAAATTATTGGCACAAGAGAACGTTTGGTGGCCGAATATTAACGAAGATATCGAATTACACGGTAAGAATTGTGAATTATGTCAAACAAATAATCCTGGCAATAAAACGATCATAGGGAAATGGCCCTCAGCAAATAAACCATGGGGAAGAATTCATTTAGATTTTTCCGGACCAATTAACGGAAATATATACCTAGTAATAATAGATAGTTTTAGTAAATGGCCTGAAATACAAAAAATGACGACGAATAATTTTACTGAAGTAAGAAAATTGTTGTTAAGACTTTTTGCTATTTTCGGTTACCCCAATACGATTGTTACGGATAATGGCCCCCCATTTCAAAGTAGAGAATTTAGTTTATTTTGCAAACAATATCAATTAAAAATGTATATAGTGCCCCATACCACCCTAGAACCAACGGAGAAGCGGAGCGATTAGTACAAACTTTTAAAAAAATTTTAAAAAAACATAATGATTATAATAAAATACAAGATTTTTTGTTTAATTATCGAAATACGCCACAAATAACCACAAAACAATCACCAAGTTCAATTAGGCTTAAATTTCAACCCATAGGACCTTTACAATTAATAAAACCAGTTTATCCTCATCCATATATACCTCAGTTACCAGGTTTTTTTAATATAAATGAAAAAATATATGCAAAGGATTTTAAAAAAGATAATTGGATACCAGGTATCATCGTTAAAAGAACAGGACCAATGACGTTTTTAGTTGAAACTAAATTAGGGGTATGGAGAAGACATATTAATCAGTTAAAACATAGGTTCAACAACTCAGAATTAAAAAATAGAGAGGAGGGAAGAAAAGAAGAAACGATGCAAACTACACCACAAATGAATGAAAATGAGCCCATACAAAACTCAATGACTAAAGACATTGATCCTTTACACGAATTGGTGACCAAAGACATTGAATAAACAAAGACACCATCATAAATGATAAGATGAAAATCGACAGTAATGAGCAAACGGTGGTAGAGAACGAAAGTACAAGCAGCCGTTATCCAAAACGGATAAGAAAACAATTTATACCGTTTCAAATCGAGAGCCCAAAAAAGGAGAGAATAGATGTAATAGAAACAAATAGCCTCAAAGGCAATTAAATATATGATGAATTTTAAATATATATATTATTAATTATGTACGACGATTAATTGTTTGTTTTGTAAAATATATATATACTGCGGTACAAAAGGTAAAAAGTTGTTAAATTTATAATAAAAATTGATTTCATCACAGGCCCGGCCCGGTTATTTTTTAAAAAAATTTTTTACGGCCCGGCCCGGATTTAAAAATTTAAGGCCCGGCTCGGCCCGGATATTTTTTAAAAAAAATTTTTACGGCCCGGCCCGGATTTAAAAATTTAAGGCCCGGCTCGGAATTTTTTAAAATTATATTCGACCTGGTATATACAAAAATTCACCTATGAGGTATTTTACCATATTTTTCAGCGAATATTATAACTTATTATTTAAAAAATACATGTAAAAAGCTAATATTTTGAGAATATTATATTGAATTTATAAAAATTATAAAACTGTTATTTATAAAAATGGATATTTTGAGCATATACTATATTTTATATTGCATTTATAAAAATAAAACTAATATTCATAAAAATGGTAATAATATTTTGAGAATATACTATATTTTATATTGCATTTAAAAATAATAATACTAATATAATAAGTTATAAATTTATAAATGTTTTCACTTATTTTTATATTTAATTTATAAAAATGGAAAATATTTTGAGAATATAATATATTGTATTTAATTTACTATTTAATTTATAAAATAAAAATAAATCGCTATTTAAAAAAATGCATGTATAATAAATAGTATTTTGAAAATATAATCTAATTGCACAATATTAATATAATTTATTTTATAATATAAATTTTTAACAAAAGAAGATAATTGTATTATATAATATTGTAAAAAAAAATAATGAAAAATGTTGGATTAAAAACTTTCATGACTCAAGGTAAATATAATAAATGCAATAAATATTTGACAGTTTGCAAAGTAAAAAACCAGCATGATTGACGAAACCCTATACTCAAGAAAGATATTAAAAATTCACAAATTATCATGAAGAAAGAGAAGCATATCTACCTTTTCAGGTTGAAGATTACTTCTTCTTTCTTCAAGAATTCTCGTAGTGGAAAAATTCCGCTCACAGCTTGCACTTGAGGCAGGAATTGCCAATTTTGCTAAAATTGGAAATTCGCTTTAATGAGCCGCCCACCACTCTAACAAATTATCCACCTTAAATGTTTCATCTATTTTTTATTTATGCAATCATAATATTCATCATCGGGTATTGACATATTACCAGAATTACCATCGCCCCATTTGTCATAAAACGATTCAGTTTGTTTAATAACAGTCGTAATTTGACTGGTCGATGGTATTTCATTTACTTCCTGAGCCTCTTGTAATTTAATATAATCTTTTATATAGTTTTCCGTCATCTTGCGATCTGTACCTGACTATATACGTAATTGCTTGAATTTGGGACAGAGAAAAAGAGAAATAAAATGATACTTGTGTAAAACAAATTTTTCAATTAAAAAATGCTTTCTTTTTCGCTTTGAAAGGTATTACAAACTTCAAGAAGTGATATTCCTTTATTTGATTGTTTTGGTAAAATATATTCTAAAAATTTAGATATGAATTATAAAAAAATATATTAATACTTTGAATAAATTTGCAGGAAATTAATAATTAGATCGATCTGTGGGTGTTAGGTAGTGTTAACCATCACCCAATATTATATTAATCATAACTATAATATAATATAATCTTATAACCATTAACTCATAATGAAAAAATTTTTATAAAAAATATTAAGGCCCGGCCCAGCCCGGATATATTTTAATTTTTTAGGCCCGGCTCGGGTATATTTGAAAAATTTAAAATACGGCCGGGCTTAGGGCCGGGCCTGCAGGTCTCTGATTCAAAGTTCACAAGCGGGCTTTGATTTTGCAAGGTTAAATTCAGTTCTCAATTTCTCTTGGTTTGTTTATCAATCTGCGCAACCATTTTTATTGCATGCTCTGATTATAAAAATAATTTATAACACTATACCATGTCAAAACTGATCAATGATATTCCCTTATAATTGAAAATTTACAATTAATTTCATGATAAAAAATATTAATAATGTACCATTTTTAAAAAAGCTTCCCTTGAATTTCTTTAAATAGAATTAATATAATCTTAAATGGTAAAAAAATTAATTCTAATTTGACTTCATTAAAAAATGAATATTATTACCATAATGTTAATAAATTAATATTTTTACTACGTAAAATTTGATATTATTTTTACTGTTAAAAAGATCATACTATTTTACTACTTGAAATTTACTATTATTTTTATTAGTTAAAAAATTTACATCATTTTTACTACGTTAAACAAATATGAAGGAAGCAAATTTATTATTTTTAAAATAAATAAAGGAAAAAATATAATCATGGAGAACCAAAAATTAGCTTATATTTCTAATAAATAAAGAGAAAATCATGTGAATGTATTGTGTAATCTAATGTTTAAAAATAAATGTTGGGGAAGCAACTTATAATTTCAATTAATAAAAGAGAATAAAAAATCTTTTATATTATATTTTTATCTATTGGTTAAATAAAAAATTTCTTCCTTTTTAAAAGTAATACTTAATTTAAAATGTCTAATAATTACAATTGTATTATTGATAGACATGTGCGCCGACAGAATTTTCGGCAGCTGCGTTTCTTTTTTAAAATGATCGGCTGGCGACGGTAAATCGATTTAGACGCCGCCACAAAAATCGGCGAGCGCGGCGGCGTTAAATATTTTTCTAACTTAAATTTTATAAATTAAAATTATAAATTCATTGGAAACTTTTAAAATAAAATTTATGCTTTATTATGTTTATAACTATAATTTAATGATTTTATTAAGTTAGAATTATCATGTAAAAATATTATTTTATTTAGATTTATAGTACATAATAATGATCTTTTAGAGTTCAGAGTGAGCCCAGTTATGGAAAATACAGGCTCGCTAGGTGTGCTCGTAGCTGGAACGCCCAGGACCTTTCTAGCTAATATTGAAAGTTTAGGAAGATCCAATGCTATTATCTTTTATCTCTAAATTATAAGGCGGAAAAAATGAATAACACTCTTTTTCTTAACTAATTAAATAGTCTTGTTGTTCCAGGTTATTGTTATGAATAGATGAATGTTTGGTAGTCAACGACTTAAGATAATTAAGTTTTGAGGCAACTACTGTCGTTTCACATTCGTTTAATTCATCCGTGTAAGGCCGTAGTGAGGTAGCGTGTTGACATAAAAATTGCACCGGAGTAATTTTTTTTTATATTCATTTACTATGTTTATAGATTGAAAACGAGGATCCAAAAGTGCTCCTAACACCTAAGTAAAATAATAAAAGAAAGGGAAATAATATATAAAAAATAATTTATGTATTTTAAAATACTACCTGAAGATCGGTTATTGAAAATCTATGATTAGTAAGCATATTTTGTTTAAAGGATGCTATGGGAGGACTATCATTACAATTAAATGATTTTTAATTTCACTATGAAATAATAAAGATAAATTTATAGTAACTCCTTTTTGGACGGATAAAATATCAACAATTTATTTACCAAAATCTATTTTTTATCTATAGGGTCAGTATTTTTTACAATGGGTTTGAAAAATAACTTTAAATTTTGTTTAGATATTTCTTCTTTACATGATAAGTCATGTTTGTCAAGTAAATGTTTTATTATGTTTGATGTGCTGATATTTTTTGAAAAAGATTTGATTGGATAACTATAAAAAATTTACTCTGAAAATGAATAATTATTTTCAACCTCACCATCTTTATCTTGCAAGCATATATTACAAAAGGCTTTATCTATAGTAACACTGGTTCTCTTATTATTTTTGTCAGTATTTAATATTAAGGATCCAAAATGTTACTTTGCAAAAGAAGGCTTTGCTTGCAAGGATATACTATATTTTGTTACAGGGTATTGCAATGCTGCATCCATTATAATTGTTTTAGTCCTGCTATTTTTATACATGTTATAATGGCAATAAAATAAAAATATTAATTAAAATTTCCTTTTATGATAAAAAATGAATTTTATATAATGAGTTGTAAATTGCATTATGGTTTTATTAAAAATATTAGAAGCATCAAAAATTAGAAGAAAAAAATATAGAATAATATCAATACCTTTTCTATTTTAATGTCCTAATCTTATTTCATCTAGCACGTTCTACACATACCTGCCCAAAGTGAGCCAACGTGTATTATATGGATTGTTACAAATCAAATTTATAGCAAATAATATTTATTAATTTTAAATAAAATCGCATTTTTAATAATTCAAAAAATATTTAATATTTTTCTTTTAATTACAATTCATAAATAGTAAATAAAATAAATATTATTTATAATAATGAAAAATATGTATAACGCCCCCACGCCGCCGAATTTTTACATCGGCGGCTTTTTTGGCGGCGGCGTCGGCCTGGTCAAAAATCTTTGGCGGCGCACATGTCTAATTATTGAAAATTTATTAAAAAATTATTAAAAATTTAGCTTAATAAATTTTGTTGTGAAGAAATTGATTATTGAAAAGGGAAGACCAAACCTAATTTTACAAAACTTGAAAAAAGAAATCAAAACTTGCATTCTTAATTTGAATGGTTCACTGGATGTGAATTTTCTAATTCTCTATATTGTTGGTCATTCCTCTTATTCCCAGCGAAAAAATATATTTGGAATGATAAAGGATTTTCGGATATGAAAATTTTTTTTTAACGGCATAAAGAATGAACTGCTCATTTGCAATCGGTAATTCAATAAAATCATTTTGCAAAAATCAAATTGAAAATATAACTTCCGTTTAATTG